GATTTTTAATATTTTGTGATTTTTTTTGTAGTACATAATTGAATTTTTGAATGAAAAATCTATACGTAGTTGCGAATATAATGTAATTAATAATATTGGAATATTAGTTAGTCGAAATTCCATCTGAGCACTTGTAATTTTTAGAGAACATTTTACTGAAAGTGTTATTTTAGAATAGTAAATTTTATATTATATTTTATTATGATCAAGCATCGCTATTATTGCTTGCTACCTTTTACCAAGTTGGTTAAATTATTTACAGTAGACTATAGTCTAACCATGTTGGTAACTGGCATTTTGAATTGCAGTTAAATAAAACCTTTAGTGCAAATTACGTTTTATCTTTCCTAACTTTAGACGAAGAATTTATCAATAACATACAACCCCTTCCTCGAATTTTTTGGATTACTTTAGTAGACAATTTTTTCAAGAATTTAGAGACAATTATACACCTATATTTATATCAAAATCTCACACTTTTATTTATCAAATATTATATTTTCACCATCATATTAAAAACAAGTATAAAACAATTTTGAAGAACTATTTCGTATTGGGATAGGTATAGTAAAACATAGCTTGAACCAATATATTCTATCAGCAGTTTTTAATGCAATACTTTTTTACGTTCACTAAAAATGCTGACTAATTTCTATGGCTGAATCAAAAAATTATAACGGAGAAAAATCAAGTTCAAAAAGAAAGTTCGGCCTAAGGATAAATGTTAATTACTATAAAATATGTATGAGTCACATTAACAACTCAGATTTAATATATATATATATATATATATATATATATATATATGTTTTTATATATACATATATATATATATATATATATGTTTTATATTTTATTGTTATTTATATCATTAATAAACTATTTAAATATTGATTGATACATTGTTTTTCAGATTGCCAGCCAGGTTTACTGTTAGTGGTTTATTTCCAATTGGTGTTAGGCTTATCGCCCCAGTAAGTCATTTTCAAATTAATTGCAAACTTATATTATTTTGAAAATGTATAAAAATGTACGCATATATCTGACCTTTAAAACGGGCGCGGTCAGGGCATATACAGTACTATTGTGATGATGAAAAATTTTCATTATCTTTGAGTATGTATGATTGCAATTTATGTTAGTTTTATTTATATTAAATAATTTCTAATATCATACTTTTTATCTAATAGTATATTCAACTATTTAAATTTAACTGGTTTAATATTCTTATGAATAGATATGAATGAAATCTTGGAAGGCGAGATTCTTTTAATTTTCATACGTTTCATCTTATAATTTGATATCATCAGTTGATATGAACATCTTGGAGAATTATTATAAGACTATCCAAGTCTATTAATACTAGTATATGACATCTAATGAAAAACATTTATATTATAATTTTATTTAAACAATTTTTTTTACTAATTTTAGCAATCAGTGCGAGTTGGAACATTTTATGCATACTCCTGTTTGTGTGCTTATATGTATTTGCTCATTTTATATATGTACCTAATTGGCACTCTATCAAAACTTTCACAAATTAAACATTTATTGTTAGATTTACTTTGTGTGATCTCTGAAAAGATAAATATTTAATCACATATATTTGTTCATATACTAACCTGAAATCGGTGATGATATAGTTGTTGATATTAGGTGATTCAATTTTCTAAGGTTTGCGGAAATATAATAGAATATTAAAAAATGTTCATTGATTCGACAGTTACTATTGAAATTAGTAATATCAAATAATTAACATCCGGTGGCCAAAATTGAGAAGATTTATTATCTAATTTTTACTGAAGAGTTTAAAATATTTTGATGCATATTTATGCAAAAATACTAAATTAGAAGTTTTTAAGTTTAGTTTACAAATCAACAATTTATTGCAATTAGAGCATAAGTAAATGCTATCTTTTGGCTAGATTTGATAATTTAAGTATCTATAAAATTATTATATTAAGTTGATGTTGGATATTCAGACTTTTCTTATAAAATAATATTGAAATTATTCTTTAGCAAAAAAAACTTATTTAAACTTAATTACACACACACACACACACACATATATATATATATATATATATATATATATAACAGTTTTCTAGCATATAATCAATTTCCCATTGTACGATGTGTTTAACACGTTTATTATCTAAAATGTTATCTTATAGCCGTTGATGATTTAATAGTTTAAATTTAACTTTCACCATAAACATTAAGCAATTTTACAACCGTTTGAACACGTACAATATTCATTTATGTCATTTTAATTAATATTATGTTTTACTTAAATCTACATTAATGGTTGGAAATTTGATTTTTGCATCTGTGACATGCATTTGATAATATATATTATAGACTGTTCCAAAACAGTGATTATGACCATGAAAAAAATACATTTTTCTGCGACTATAAACTATTCAGTAAATAAGTTTTATTAAATTATTGTATGCAAGATAGAAAATATATAATCCGCTAATCAGGCTTTTACCCATTTTTAACTTCCCGAAGGAGAAGTTTGTTTTTATCAAAAAATCCGATATACTTCATGTTTTCTCGACGTTTCAAGCTATTCTGAATCGAATGAGACCAAATTTGGAAAAAGTATGTGTGTGTGTATATGAACAGCCATAAATCGACGTTTTCGCAAAAACGGCTCGACCGATTTCAAAAATTCAAAAGCCATTCGATGATTTCGATGAGGACTATCGTTTGTCACTTTTGTGCGCAGATCTGCCGAGCCGTTTCTTTGTAATTTAAAAAAAAAGTTAAACTTTTCGTCCACATTTAAGCTCATACTATCGAATCGATTTAAAAAAATCAAAAATCAAACTGTTCGAAAGATATTAGTTGGGAATGATACGGATTAGTTTTAAGTGAAAATCTACCGAGCCGTTTTCTTGTAATTAACTGTTGAAAAAAAAATTTAAGCCGATTTTTATGGAACTTTTTTTGGCGATATATTATGGTTTTATAGAACTTACTGAAATATTACGGCCTTACGACAAGTAGTTTAATTTTAAAAATTCATCAAAGTTTTAGAAAATGAGTAGTTTTTTGACATTAAATTAGACGATTTATTTGGTATAACTTTTGAGTGTACGTTCATTCTCAATGATGTGTGATAAATCCACTCGAAATACTTTTAATCACTCATAAATTAATTTATATTTTATTGTTTAAGTCGATTATATACAGATATCGGGAAGTAACTTGCAAAATACCAATACCAACTAGTAGAAAAATATTTTGCTCAACAATCTGCTGAATACATTTGTTCCTAGTTTATTAATGAATGTTACATCTAATACAATTCAAGTTCCTGCGTTTAATTTAGATGAACGTTATAAGTTGAACTTTATTTCATTTATATAAACAAATATTTAATTTAAATATTTGTTTTTATAAAAAACTAATATCAGAAATAATAACAATAACGTTTAAAATATGCAGATGCAAAACAAACGGTAATAGTTTCTGCTCACTTATTAGTGACTAATGATAATATCTGTAGGTGTATTTTATAAAAAAAAATTGAAATCGATTGCGGACACATACACAATTTATTTAGGATGGGAATTTAAAAGAACTTAAATAAAAATAATATTTGATATTTGATAAATTTATTTCTGAATATTTGTCGGCACGTTAGTAAAAATGCGTTTTTAATTATCTCCACGAAAAACGAATAAGTACGATTCTAAATGATTTTCGAGAAAACTTAAGATATTGAAATACTAATATTATAAAAGATTTTAGACGATCTGAAACTGACATATAAATAAGAAATAAGTAATATTACAATAAATTTATCTAATTTTGAATCATTCAATTTATTTTTTCTTATTCTTTTCAGATTACCGGTAGCATTGTGACTTACGTTTTGGTAGCGTTGCAATTTCAGCTGCATGATTCAAATGATGCTGACAATGACATGTTAGATTTTAATGGGACATTTAATGTTATTTTTGGAGATATTCAATAATTAGGTAAGTTTTCTATATTGTATTATATTTTGTAATTTAATTGGATCAGTATCGAAAAATTATTAATTTAACGGTACAGAAGCAGCTTAAAACTGTTCGCTCTACTCTGTTGATGAATTTCGCCATTAACAAAACATCATTTTCTTATTTTGGAATTTGTTTCGTGTTGGTGCTGCTTATAATTGGTTTATACTTTATAAACCATTTTGTATTTCTTAATATTAATCCTTTTCATAATTTTTCATAACTATGCTTTTACTATTTTTTGCTAAAAGTTTACTATTTTTTTAAACAAAATATTTTTTTACGCTGCATTTTTGGATTAACATTGGTAAGTAGATGATGTAATATTTCATTTGCTATATATTCTTATACTCGCGATTTTTTATAAGATTTAATACGTAAGTATGTTCAAGTATTTGAGAAACATTAATAATAATAAATGAACATAAAACATTTATTAGATAATAACAACTTTATTAAAATAGTTAATATTTACAATTATATAACACTATACAGACTCGTTATTTTCTTAAATTACTCTTTATAACAAGATATTAACCGTATAAAAATTTATTTATATTTACAATTCTCAGAAATATTAGCTTCATATTTATACGTGTAACATTTAACATTAATTATTATAATACAATAATTAACACTCTTTCATTTATTCATAGTAATTTCATTCATTGTGAATTTTTGCTAATTCTTGTGAATTATCGTCGATACCATTTACTTCTGTGTATATTTGTAGAAACAAAATGATATAGGCAATAGATATTTTGTTTAGAAAGAAAGTATATCATTAGCAAAATATACCATGACGTTTTTTCTGATCAACATCAACTGTCATTCACATTAATGATATGGGCCGCTAGGTGAAAATCCACCGGAAGCTCCATTAAGGTAGCTGTCACCTCCGTGGCCACCACCACCATATCCGCTACCGCCTCCGTGGCCACCACCACCTCCATGGCCACCACCAAATCCACCGCCGCCTCCGTGATGGCCTCCACCACCGCCGCCGCCAAAGCTTCCGTGACTAGTTACACTATAGCTATCTACTCCAGAATAACTGTCGGAGCCTCCGCCGTGTCCGCCGCCGAAACCTCCTCCGCCACCTCCTCCGAGATGGTCATCGTGTCCACCGCCACCATAACCACCGCCTCCCCCACCGTGGCCGCCTCCGAAACCGCCGCCAAATCCTCCTCCACCACCACCGTGGTGATCGTCATGTCCACCACCAAATCCGCCTCCAAAACCTCCTCCTCCATAGCCGCCACCACCTCCGTGGTGATCATCGTGACCACCGCCGCCGCCGCCGCCGCCGCCGCCGTGTCCTCCTCCATAACCACCGCCTCCGCCACCGTGGCCGCCTCCAAAACCACCGCCAAAGCCGCCACCTCCTCCGCCATGGTGATCATCGTGTCCACCGCCAAATCCTCCGCCGCCTCCATATCCACCTCCTCCTCCGTGGTGATCGCCACCTCCGTGACCTCCTCCAAATCCACCTCCTCCTCCTCCTCCGTGATGATCACCATGTCCGCCACCGCCGCCAAAGATACCTGAGAAGCCACCGCCGCCGCCGTATCCTCCTCCACCTCCGTGGTGATCGTCGTGACCGCCGCCACCGCCAAAACCTCCTCCTCCAAATCCACCACCTCCGTGGTGGTCATCATGCCCTCCGCCACCACCGCCAAAGCCACCTCCAAAGCCTCCGCCGCCTCCATATCCGCCACCACCTCCGTGGTGATCATCGTGGCCGCCACCTCCTCCAAATCCACCGCCGCCACCGAATCCACCTCCGCCTCCATGGTGGTCATCGTGGCCACCTCCTCCAAAACCACCCCCAAATCCTCCTCCAAAGCCACCTCCGCCGCCGCCATGATGATCATCGTGGCCGCCACCACCACCGTAACCGCCAAAGTCACCACCACCTCCATGGCCGCCTCCGCCATGGCCGCCTCCGCCATGGCCTCCGCCGCCGTGGCCTCCGCCGCTTAGAAAACCTCCAATTAATGTTTCCGCTAATCCCGGACCATGGTGTCCGCCACCGCCATGGCCTCCACCACCACCGCCTCCGTGGCCTCCTCCAAATCCTCCGCCAAATCCTCCTCCGCCACCATGATGATCATCGTGGCCACCGCCGCCACCTCCGTAACCACCTCCACCATGGCCTCCTCCAAATCCACCGCCGAATCCGCCATGGCCGCCGCCCCCACCACCACCATCATGTTGTTCTATGATTATAGTGGGTCCGCCGCCACCACCTCCGTGTCCTCCTCCGCCGCCATGGCCTCCTCCATAACCGCCGCCGCCAAAGCCACCTCCAAAATCGCCGTGGCCACCACCACCGCCTCCATGACCCCCGCCGCCAAAGCCACCGCCAAAATCACCGTGGCCACCTCCACCACCGCCACCATGGTCATGAATGATTACTTCTTTGTGGTGTTCTTCTTTATGAACTGGTTCCTTTATATGCACTCGTATGTGGACACTGTAAATGATTAAATACAATGTTTCTAACTTACATATTTATAATATATTGTTTGAAGTAAATATATTTAGAAAATAATAAAATTTGAACAAAGTATTCAATTATTCTTATCATATTACTATAAAAGTATTTGATTGATTCCAGAGCGGCACACGAATTGGTACGCAATATAATTGCATATGCATCTGACGATTTATATATTTCAAAAGTATTTGCTTCATTACATTTCTAAATTAATAAGGACCTAATTTTGGTTTTCTAAAATTGTTATAAAAATATTTTTTGATTTGAACCACTTATTCAAACAGTTTTCTTTTCACATTCACTTTCAAATAATGGTGCTGACGACAATAATTTCGATGAAACTTCACTTTTAACTTATACCATTCAATTCCGCGATAATTTGGAATACAAACTTGTTCTTTTATTTTTAGAACTATTTTTTGAGCATTAATGTCGTTTTGATACTAATTATTTCATTATATAAAATTTTTTAGTTCTTATAATTTAATTTGAATAAATTAAATAATATTCATGAAAATAGCAAGTTGTACTGGGCCAATTTCAATAGCTCAAAAAATCACTCAAAAATAAGTAATCAGTGAATGAAGAAATGCAAGAGCTTATTTCAGTTTCTATCAAATGTATTTTGATAAGTTGACATTGCACAAAGCTTCATTCTTGCCTTGAAAGTTTATAATAAACATGAACAGTCTTTAATTTATTTAGATATGCAAAACATGAACTATTTTAAATATCTTGAAATGTTTGCTAAAGTAATATTATAAAATAAATTATAATACTTACTGTTCCTTGCCGAAGGTTGCAAGCGCAAAACCAAACGTAGCAAGCAGAGCCACACAAAACTGAAATTAAAAAAATATTAAACTTAAGTAAATATGAATATTTATAAAATATTTATACATATTTATTTTAGGCATTGAAAAAAACTAATTAATGAACTGATATAATTAAAACACAAATGAATTTCGAACAAAGTTATGAGAGGCATTGTCATTTTTATTGATAATTGATAGAGGAAATTTTTCACCCAATTTGATGTGTGTTACAAAAAGCGTAACAACATTTAGGTCTTGCTTGCAGCTAATTATTAATAATGATAAACTATATCAAGTATAAGACAATTACTATATGATATACATATTAATGATAAACTATACTTGATATAGTTTATCATTATTTATAAATTGCTGCATGCAAAATCCAAAGCTAAATGTTGTTACGCTTTTTGTATAAATTTAAGTTCTGTAGTTTCTTTTAGGTTTCTTGTGTTCTTCAATAAGGGGAATTAGTTTGTCTAAAAAATATTTAACTTGGCAATCGGTTTTCTCAAATTAAGAAAGAATGCAATAATATTGTCAATAGT